AGCCTATCGCTCTGTGTTTACCTGTTTACTTTCACAGGTAGTTCAAACAGGCCGCGTGTCTTTTTTCACTCTGACAGTGGCCAGTATGCAGACTGGTTTTTGCAGAGCGGGACGAGTTAACGGGACCAACACTGGGAAATGTTCTCAGTCCAGTAAATCTACTCAGGATGCTTTCATACTGCTGTTGTGTACAATTGTGCAAAATTAATCTGGTGCAAAAATACATGCCAGATTTTAAACCGTTGTTATTTTTCTTTAAATATGAAGATTATCATTATAGTAATCATAATATTTATTACTGTTAATAATAATATTGTTAACATTATTAATTTATGTAATATTGTTTTCCACATTTTTTATCATTATCAGCTCTTTATTAGTGTTGTTTCTGTAATTGTTAAGTCGTAAAAAATTACCTCTCCTGTTTTTAACAGACTCAGAAAGTTGAAACATTGTTGTGAATATGTTTCCACTGCTTTTCCCTCTCAGTGGGTAAGTCGTCCTCAATCCTCAGCTAGGACTGTGTGTCAGCTGTGAAATGTGTGTTTGTGTGTGTGTTGGGGGTGTTAAACCAGACAGAAGATGTAGTAAAGAAGGGCCTCTGAGCTGCAGATGCATCAGGATTTAAAGGACAATGCGGGGCGCGGGGCTGGTGCTTCCCATCACCCGCTTATTTGAGTTCAGTTGACACTAAATCTTCAGATCTGACTCAAAAACGAAACATTATAATAGAAATTCTCATCTGACTTTTGTGCGTAAAACTGCACAGTGCATGCCATGTACAAGACTAACCTTTTTTTATGTGATCATTGCTGCTGTAATTATGCTATCACCAGTTTCGCCAGTGTTCCCATTTTAATATTATAAGCAACAGAGCTGACTGGCTCATTATTAAAGCTCGTTACATTTTTCTGATCCCAGCTTTGCAATCAAACGTACAACAGAATGGACTCATCCAAAAACAATTAATTTTTCGGATGAACCCCAAAAACCGGGCCCCGTCTGATTAATTATAATTCCCTCCTAAAAATTCATGCCCACGATTGTTCCCAAATAAGTGAAGAAAGAGCTTTTTATATTCTTGATTAAATAAATCTTTCGATTGAATGCACAAATAAGAATGCCGCAGGAGAATCCATAATAATGTTGATCATTCCCCTCCTTTTAATCGCTGAATTTCAGCGTGTTTGGATGCCTCAGGCAGGGAGTTAGTCTTTGATAAAGGTAACCCCTTCTGCCTCAGGGTGCCTATGATAAATGTACAGAGTGACAAGACCGATTTCCTCCCTCTATGATTAAAAGCCTATATATGATATGCAGGTAAAGCGGGTCCGGTTTATTTATTATGGGGGCTAAGCCATGGCCCGGGGAGACTTGGCTTCAGGATAGAAATCATTTTGGAGCCCGTTTTTTTTTCTTACAGAAATCCAGCCACCTTTCCCTCCCGGGCAAAAGTCTTTATTCGTCTCCTTTCCTCTAATGATTAAACATGTCACGGCGAGATTATAGCAGTGCGCCCATGCCCCGAGGAGATGCCTTCATTTGTTAAACCACCAGTTTATTTGTAACGGTGAATTTCATGCCACGCTGTGCCATTCGCCTTAATCTTTTTTTTCTGTGTAAGACGAATTGCTAAAAAGGGGTTTATTATTTTTTAATCACTTCCCATTTCAGTATCGCACTGACATTGGCAGGAAGGAGGGAGAAATGGCTTGAGTCTCTGGGACTTCTTCAGATAAATAAAAAAAGAAGAAGAAGGGGGGGGGGGCAACTGTTATTTGCAAATGAGGATGAAACATTCGGATGAATAAATGAACAAGTAAGTAAATAGATAGATAAATAAATAAATAAATCATCCTCTCCAGGAGAACCTGATCTGCCCCGCTCTAGATGACACAAGTACAGACAACTTGTCCTCCTTGTTAGGCAGCCTGTGTGTGAGTGCAGTAATAACATTAACAGCTGTTGACATCTGTAGAGCTCTAGCGGTCTCTACCGGCACATTTAAGAAACAACAGGGGGTTCTTATTGTGTGCACCCAATTAGACAACTTCTATTAGCCAATAATGTCACCAATATATCCAGTGGAATCAGAAACATGTTATGATATAAGGAATATTAAGCTTTTTACCACTTTATGTGCAGGTTACCGTCATCCATGTCCACCCTACATTTAAGATACACTGAAGTTCTTCAATAAATAAGGTGTTACCTTTTATGGAAGCTGCTGTGTGTCTTGCGCTATCTATAATGCGCGTTACTGTGTTGGCTGTTGGGAAAGCAGGTGTAAACATCTTCTTAGATTAAACATAGTTTGACATTTTACATATTCAGAGCTCGGACGTGAGGATGCAGGCCAAGCTCACAGTGAACAGTCACTACGATAATGTCCAAGCAGCCCACGTGAGGAGTGCGTAATGATCAACAACTACTGTAGGCTAAAAAAAAACGCACAGGCCCACACTTTGAATAAGCACCCTATTTAAAACACAGTTTAACAAAAAGTTCAGGGTCATTCTACAGTCAAGGGCTAAGATATGCGCATAAAATAGCAGCAACAGAACACAAGCAGTGTCTATTTAAAACAAGAAATAATATACTGTATGCAAACTGACTGGAGCATCCAGTGCGCTTACCTAGACTGGAGGGGGGCTGAATGTGTTGCCAGCGTTAAGACAGCGCGCAGAGTTAATGAAATATCTCCAAATGGGAGTCAGGAGTGCGTGCAGAGATAAGCCTGATGTGGTTTATATACCCAGAAAGCAAGTGCTCCTCTTCTCATATTGTCCAAGAGCGTTTGCATAGCTGGCCAAGTGGCTCTGCTCTTGCTGACTGGCTAACATTGCATGGTGTTTGTTTTCCCCTTGCTATGACGTGAGACAAAATATTGGCCATATGTTCATCGGCAATAAATTGGTCTTAAGCGCAAACACAGCTCCCTGCGGACGGTGCTTTTAACCGCCGCGCTGCTAGTTTTCTCTCTTTGGGATGTTTTTGGGACACGCAACTATCTGCAGTATAATGAAGGTAAATCATAATGTCACAACAGCCTGTTTTAAGAGATAATTGTCCGCCTATGGAAGAGCTGCCGGTTGATCTTTATACTGCGACCTATTCTCCCTCGCACAGGGCTCTCTAATAAATCGCTTGGTAACCAAGAAGCAGCGCTGTCCAAAGAGCAGATGTGGCATGTTATCCACGCCACAGTTGCGTTTACATTAGATACCCTGATACAATGATTGATAACCAAGGTCACAGTAATTCACAATGATTCGAGACCGGGGCATCTCCCATGAGGCAGACTACTAACACATAATGTTTGCAACATAGATCCACATGTGTCGACACTGGAAACACCCGCAACTGTGTGTGAGCTGAGGCCACGAGGGAAAATGTCATTAGTAGCGCACAGGCAGAGTCAGAAAATAACAGCTATAAATTCCAAAATCTCTCCTTAGACGCATCTTAGGCGCAAAAACACCAATTATAATTACAACACTAATAACAATAATCCAGGTTGCATATATGAGTTTAGATCTATCTTTAAGCCACACACACAAGCTAGATATTTTACATGTCTGCTGTAGGACACTATAAATACCATAGGCTACGCTTCTGCACCGAGTCAAATACCGAGTATAATTTAATAAAAATGAAAATTACTTACTTATTAATAACTGGATCGTGTTATTTAAACATTTTAAACGATAAAGCAATACGTATAAATGACTCTAAGTTAACCAGTGTGTGACACTATGGCTCAAAATAAAAGGCAACAGGTTTATTTTAAATACAATAGGGAGCATGTGTTTATGGGGAAAAATACTATTTATTTTTTTCCACTTCTGATTTTCCACTAACACAAACACAAAATAATTATTTATTTTATTTTCAGAAAAGTGTCTTGATTCTCTCCATCACATCCATTTACACCTGTTGCGCGCACACCGGCATCATGTCCCTGTGCAGAAAACACCCTCTTCTCTATCACAGGTTATAAGAAATATCTGCTCGGTGCAAAGATGATGACAGTAATTGTTGAGGAAAGAAAGCAATATGAGGCAAACACCAGTTGTGCTATTAAGACACCTTGGTGGGGGGGTTGGATAACTTAAATCAAGACAATGATTTTATTGTGGGCAGTCTGGAATCTATGCATGATAATAATGGGGTTGCCTAGTAGAGCAGGAGCGACCATCAATCAATAGCGAATACATTACTGATGGGTTTTTTTTGTGCAGGGCCACTTGCTGATGAAAGACAGAGATTATCCTCGCTGCCATCGCTGTGTTCAAGAGTATCGCTAAGACGCTAAGAATACAAATAAATAAATTGGCCTCATACATGCCTCGTTTGAAATTCCACATTAAGGCAAAGTAGTTAGTTAGAGTTGGAATGTATTCATGAGGCGCAGACGAATGAGAGAAAGCTTTCCACTCAGCCGCTCTGTGAATACCCTTGTGCTGTTTGAGATTTGCCACAAGTGTTCTGGGTGCTAAATACAAGGTCTCCTGAAAAAGGATGGGTAAGATAGGCCCTGCCGGTCAAGCTATTATCAATCCCTGGCCCAAAGCTTGATGACTAAGATACTTCAGATGTAGTTAACGGCTGCGTAAAAGGACACTGATGGCACGGCATTCTGAAATCAATCAGTTCAAGTTTTAATGTATCGACCACTCGAGGCGAACGAAGAGAGGGAGAGCTTCTCGACACACAAATGCCACAGAGACTGGGTTGATTTTCATAGAAGGTACACTTAAAAAAAAAAAAGTTTGATTAAACCTGAGGGCTCACTTGTACTGGTTGAGACTCATACATGGTGATAGCCAGTCCTATCAATGTGAAAGGCTTAGCAATTTTTTCTTCACAAATACATGCACTTAGAGAGGTTTAGCATTTGATCACCAAAGCCCTCAGTGTTAAGGCGAGTGAATGGGTGGTTTTAGCCCTTCAAGAGATGTGAGGCAAAGTAGAGGAGATGAGTTGTTTTCCAACAAAGT